TGGTGTTGTTTCTACTGGAGTTCCTGGAGCAGCTGGTCCCGGAGGTGCTCGTACTGGAGGTACTGGAGCTGCTGGGGCTGGAGGTCCTACTGGACCTGGAGGTGCTGCTGTCGACTCTGAGGTTGGGGGCCCTGGAGCTGGAGGTGTCGGCTCTGGGGGTGCTACTGCTGCGGGTGCTGGCGCTGGAGGTTCTGGAGCTGTTGGAGGTGCTGGCGCTGGTGGCGCTGGAGCTGGAGGTTCTGGAGCTGCTGCGGGTGCTGGCGCTGGAGGTTCTGGAGCTGCTGTTGCGCGGTCTCCTTGGAGTGCCTTCGTTCGCGGGTGCCTCTCACCTCACAGCAGCTGCACGACTGGTACGGTCGCCGTCAGGGTCGCGCTTCTGGAGCTCGGGGCTCTGCCGCTGGAGGTACTTCTGCTGACGTCACTGGAGCTGGGAGTGGTGCTGGTCCCGGAGGTGCTCGTACTGGTGGTACTGGAGCTGCTGGGGCTGGAGGTGCTGAGCCTGAGGGTGCTACTGCTGGAGACCCTGGGTCTGGGGGTGCTGTCACTGGAGACACTGAGGCTGGAGACCCTGGGACTGGAGGTGCTGGTTCTGGGGGTGCTGTTGTTGGTGGAGCTGGTCCTGGAGGAGATGGCGCTGGAGGTGCTGGAGCTGCTGGGGGTACTGGAGCTGCTGGTGCTGGTGTCACTGCACAGCCGCGCCTGTTCTTCGCTCCACCGTCTCCGTCGTCTCAGCCACCGCCTGACTCTGTGCTTCGCCAGGTTCTTAGTCTCCCTTCGTCTACTGGTCTTCCGTTACAGCCTGGCTCACCGCTGCCTGCTCCTTCTCCTTACACTGAGCAGACAGGGGGTCTTACTGAGCGTCGTGAGCCTGCGTCGCGTCCTGTCTCGCCTGTCCGTTCTGGTCGGTCCGGTCGTCGTGTTCCTCGTCCGCGTCAGCCGGACTTCGTAGTCCGTCGTCCTTCCTCTCCTCCGCAGCGTGTTCCTCTGCCGTCTCCTCCTGCGTCTTCTCTGCCTGTCGTTGCGGACCCTGAGTTTGACCGGTTTCGTGCTGAGAACCCTACTGTCACGCGTCTGCTAGCCACTGTTGTCACTGACCCGTCGTTTGAGTCTGCTGCTCCGTCTGCCTTTGTCGCTGAGCTTGTTGACTTTGCTGCTGCCTGTCGTCTAGACTACGCTGCTAGTCTTGTTGCTGAGTCTGAGTCTGTCTGTCCTCCGTCCGTCGGGGGTGAGTGTGCTCTTGGCACGGACGTCCTTGAGGACAGGCAGGAGGACCTTGAGTGTCTTGCAGCCGCTGCGCCTCATCTCGTGTCCATGCTGCTTGCCCCTGAGGGAGACCCGGATGCTCCAGACATCCCGACCCCGCGCTCTTACGCTGAGGCGATCGCGGGTGAGTACTCCTCTCAGTGGCAGACAGCCATGGATGCAGAGATGGCATCCTGGAAGTCCACAGGCACTTACGTCGACGAGGTTCCCCCACCTGGGGCGAACATCGTCAGTGGCATGTGGATTTTCAGGGTGAAGCGGCCGCCGGGTTCTCCGCCTGTCTTCAAGGCGCGTTACGTTGCACGAGGCTTCAGTCAGCGAGAGGGAGTTGACTTCTTCCAGACCTTCTCCCCCACCCCGAAGATGACCACTCTTCGGGTACTGCCGCACGTTGCCGCTCAGCGTGACTACGAGCTTCACTCTCTTGACTTCAGCACAGCCTTCTTACAGGGCAGCCTGCACGAGGAGATCTGGCTGCGCCGCCCACCTGGCTTCACTGGGTCGTTCCCTGCTGGTACCCAGTGGAGCCTCCGGCGGCCGGTCTACGGTCTCCGCCAGGCGTCACGTGAGTGGCACGACACACTGAGGACGACACTTGCGGCTCTTGGGTTTGCTCCGTCGACTGCTGACCCGTCGCTGTTTCTGCGCACCGACACTTCGCTGCCGCCATTCTACATCCTCGTGTACGTCGACGACTTGGTCTTTGCCACTGCTGACACTGAGGCTCTCGCCCTGGTGAAGTCGGAGCTGCAGAAGAGACACACGTGCACAGACCTGGGTGAGCTGCGCAGCTACCTTGGCTTGCATATCACCCGGGACAGAGCACGCCGCACCATCACACTGACTCGGTCACACATGGTGCAGCAGGTCCTTCAGCGCTTCGGCTTCACCTGGTCCTCGGCACAGGCCACTCCTCTGGCTACAGGTCACTCGCTCTCAGCTCCACCTTCGGACGAGTCCGTAGAGCCGAGTGGTCCTTACCCAGAACTAGTGGGCTGCCTCATGTACCTGATGACCTGCACTCGTCCTGACCTTGCGTACCCTCTTGGCCTTCTAGCTCGCTACGTGGCTCCTGGTCGGCATCGAAAGGTGCACATGGATGTTTCTAAGAGGGTACTGCGCTACTTGTGCAGTACATCGGGCATGGGGCTAGTGCTTGGAGGACTGGGCGACGTTGTCCTCACTGGGCACTCGGACGCTTCTTGGGTTGACGACCAGGCTACGCAGCGGTCGTCACAGGGTTACACCTTCAGCCTTGGCTCTGGCTCTGTTTCTTGGCGGTCTACACGCTCGTCCTCTGTTCTCGGCTCCAGTTGTGAGGCTGAGATCTACGCCACAGCCATGGCTGCACAGGAGTTACGCTGGCTCACCTACCTGCTGACCGACTTGGGAGAGAGGCCTCGTTCTCCTCCAGTGCTGTACGTCAACAACAAGGCCGCCATTGCCTTGTGTCAGGAGCACAGACTGGAGCACAGAACGAAGCACATCGCTCTGCGCTACTTCCTTGCTCGAAAGTTGCAGCAGCGTGGTCAGCTTCGTCTTGCTCACGTGGCCACTCGGGCCAACTCTGCTGATATATTCACCAAGGCGCTTCCGTCTGGTGATCATCAGCGTTTCTGCACTCTGTTAGGCCTTGTGCCCACGTTTCCTCACTTGCTGTAGACTTCGCTTGTACTGTGGTCTATATATATACCTGCATGCTTGCTCTGCTAGGTAGAGATCACTGTGCTGTTGTTGTTGCATATATACCGCTGCATGTGAACAGGCCTTGTGGCCCTTTGCTTGTGCTCAGTGTGTGTGGTGACGTTGTGATCCACCCTGAGCTTGCTTTGCTTTTCTTGACTGGTCTTGTGACCCCTTGCTCTCCCCCACTTTGCCTATGGGGATGTGTCAAAGTATATGAATGTTATATATGTGTAGGCTGTAGTGGGGTAGCCAATATGGGGTACAACCCCTTTTAGGGTTTCATACTTGTACCCACCTCTTTCATAGTTCATTCATTCCTGTCTCTAGATTCTGACATGCAAGGGCAGCGCGGCTGCAGGGGCAGCGTAGGAAGAAATTTTTACGGTTAGGGCAGGGCGGAACGTTCGGTGGGCCCTAGGAACGATTCTGCTCTAATACCATGTTAGAATAAGCAGGAATGAATGGTGGACTAGGTAGCATGCATGAGTACAAGTACCTAACCCTAAAGTGTTGTACCCCTTGTAGGCTAACCCACTATAGCCTAGAGATAACACAAACATACAGTTTGACACCAGCTTCACCAGCTTCCCTATCACCTCCTCCTCGTCGCCGCGGTTACGTTCATGCTCGGGTACCTCGCAGCCTACTCCCCTCGTTCGGCCGCTTTAGCTCCTCAGCCGGCTGGTCGTTCCGAGCATTCTCAGTCACCGGATTTTTCTCGAGCGGATGCTTCTAGTCTCGATACAAGCACATTGATCGAGCTGCAGCAAACCGTCAGTCCGAGACTGCTGAATTCATCCCCAAGTGAGCAACTCTCAAATGACATATGTGCCGCTCCCATTGGCGTCCGACTCCCCCTTTCATCGCCATCCACATCCGAACCTCGTACTGCAGCACCCGAATGAATTCCTCTACCCAACCGGTACCTTATGCTTTCATGCACCAACGGCAGAAGCACGAATCGCCTCTTATGCTTTCAGAAGACCATTCTGGCAGCGCACGCCATGGTTACAATGACAACCGAACGGTCAACGTTCTCACGCCACATAGGGTATCTAAGGGAGAGCCTGGACCTCGCATTATGCCATGATGGGCTCATTTGCGAGGGCAGAGCTAAAGAAGCTATTGGATTAAAATTCAGGCGTTGAATAAATCTGGTTTCTCAACCCCCCACTCTGAAGATCAGGGCTCATAGAGGGAGCTTCATTTTCACCCTCAAATGTATGTTCTTCCTTTAGAGATGTTTTTTCAGCACTAATTATTGATTTGTTGACAAAGTTCGATTATGGTTCAATTCATGATGGCTTGGAGTACACCGCTGTCAATATCAACCTAGATCTCTTCGGCAGCTCTCCGCGCTTTCTGGAACCCGGCCTCGCCTCTCTCTCCGCGCCAGCAGGCTCGGCAATCCCAAGGAAGAGTAGCAACGGCTACGCTGGATCCCACTCTCCATCCCACCCAAGCCAAGCCAGGCCTGGATCCTGATTCCTGAAGCAGTAGAGTAGACAGACATTTTACACGGGACATAGCTTGGTACATGCCATGCCTGCCAGTCGCTAGGTGCTGAGATAGTGTCATAGTGGCATCGTCGCTGGACTGCTTGTTCGTCCGGTCGTCGAAGCCTGGTGTTATATGATTCGTAGGCTGGAGTAAATCTAGGGCGATTCACGTCACTGACCAGCCACGGACTCGGAAAGGAATGTGAGTGTGGCGAAGCTGGTGTAACAGTTCAGTAATTTGGTAACCGACGAGTACAGCGCTTTTTTCACCTAGTTTTGTTAGTTTTTAATCAATAATCTGCTAGAAGGCCAGCGACGAACAGAGCTGACCGGATACGGACGTTGTTTAGCTGAATGATCGAAATCTTAGTTAATGATTCAGCATATAGAGGAAAGTAAAAGCTCGCCGTTTCGTTCACACCTGTCGCTTCGTCAGTAGTCAGCTGACTGGTTTCCGGCCGACTGTGTTTCTGGCTGACTGCTAGCCGTCTGACTTGTTTCGGCTGACCGGTAGCCGTTTCATAAAATCTCGGTTGACTGGTAGCCGGCAAGATGAGGGGAGGCAAGTTCCAGCAGAAGGTGGTGGAGGATGGCAGCACGCGGAACTCGGAATCGCTTTTCGAGACGCGTTCTATCGCGGATATCGTGGCGATCGAGGCGCGCACGAGGAAGGAGGTGGAGGAGAAGAAGGAGGAGCTGCGACAGCTGGTCGGCGCGAGCTATCGCCATCTGATCGAATCCGCGGATTCGATTCTCGATATGCGCAGGTACGCTGGAAACTTGGGCTGAATGTAGATCGGCTCAGAAGTCCAAATAAAGGAAAAGGAGCAAGGGTAGGAAAGAGGGGGAAACGGGAGAAGGAGGATTTGCGATGTTTGAATCGTGAAACGGAGCCTTTTGCTCACATGGGGAAGAGAAAGAGGAGAGGAGCTGCGACAGCTGGTCGGCGCGAGCTACCGCCATCTCATCGAATCCGCGGATTCGATTCTCGACATGCGGAGATACGCGTGGGGACCAACATATCTGTGAAATGGCGTGTGTGCGTGTTTGATCCTGGTCATCATGCGTCGGCAAGTAGGCATATCCATTCCGCTCAGAATCTCCATATGTTTCTTCCTCTAGGTCTCGTGTGATTCCAAGTCTTAGTGTGCATGTGTCTAAGTTTGCGTGTTCACATGTGCACAGGTCGTGCGAGGCGGTGGTGCGCAATGTGGCAGCCATGGAATCGGATTTCAACCATGGGTGTACCCATTGTAGTGTGGCACTCTCACTCACAAAACCACTTCAAAGTCGCATGCTCTTTTGTGCCACAAACACGTGCTCATTCACATTCATTCATATCCATCCATGTTCCACAGGTCGTGCGAGGCCGTGGTGCGCAATGTGGCAGCCATGGAGTCCGACTTTTCGCTGCTGCACAAAACCATCTCCACCACCGCCACCACCACCCCTGCTGCTGATGCCAAACGCAAGGTGAGCACCTGTGTGGTTACCAAGTAACAAGGGTGTGCCAGAGGTCCATCAAAGAAGGCGGACTTCTCTCTGCTGCACAAAACCATCTCCACCACCGCCACCACCACCCCTGCTGCCGATGACAAGCGCAAGGTGAGCACCTAAGTAGTTACCAAGTAACAAAGGTGTGCTACAGTGTTACTGTATTACTGTACTACTGTGTTATGATCTTTTTGGGCTGTTACTTACTGTATTACTGTGTACTGTACTCGTTACAGTGTTTCATCCTACCTCCCGTACTACAGCGCAGTGAGCCGAGTCAAGTACCTGGTGGACATGCCAGAGAAGATCTGTTGGGTGTTTTTGTTGACATTGTAACCAAGTTACAAACCTCTGTACCCTTCTTTCCCTTAACCCACAGCGCAAGGAAGCCCTATACGCGCTGGGCAGCCGAGTCAAGTACCTGGTGGACACACCCGAGAAGATCTGGGGCTATCACTGCCTGCTCTAGCGTGTATACTCGTTACAGTGTTCCCTGTTATCCGTATGTGCCCCCTCTCTCCCGACGTCCCTCGCTACAGCGAAAGGAGGCTCTGTACGCGCTGGGCAGCCGAGTCAAGTATCTGGTGGACACTCCAGAGAAGATCTGGGGGTGTCTGGACGAGCGAATGTTCCTGGAAGCTGCGCAGCGGTTCATGCGCGCATGGGAGGTGCACCAGCTGCTGTCGCCCTCCCCGGCTGATGGAGCAGCAGCAGGGGGAGGGTGGCAGGCGCAGCAGCAAGGGTTGATGGCGTCTTTTCCGCTGCTGCGGCATCAGTGGCCGCTTGTGGAGACGTTTCGCACCCAGGTGAGCAGCAGGGGCAGTAGGAGCAACAGTTGGAGAGGATGGAGCAGCAGCAGGGGGGTGGCAGGCGCAGCAGCTAAGGGTTGATGGCGTCGTTCCCTCTGCTCAGGCACCAGTGGCCGCTTGTGGAGACGTTTCGCACGCAGGTGAGCAGCAGGGGACAGACTGGAATCATAGCTCAATTCTGCTGGCTTTGCACTCAGGCGAGTTGCAAGGCGGGATGTTGATTCGGTGCAGTTGGTTTGGTTTGCATTCAATTGCAACTCTCGTCGGGTTTTTATATGGCAAACCCGACGGCAGTTTCTACATGCACCCTCCCTCTCGTACAATCTTCGAGGCACCCCAATGTTCTTTTCAGTTTGTTCACATATAAGTGTGAGGCGACAGCGTAGTTAGCCTACATGCTTCTCTCTACTCATCCCCTTCCCGTCCCCACCGTCCCAGATCGTTGAGAGGAGCAGGGAGTGTCTGCATGATGCATCCCGCATTCCAGCAACAGGGCTGGGCTGGGGGAGCACACACAACTGAATTCCACATAACGACCCAACAACCCCTTGTTCTGCCCACACAAACACACCCCATTGTTTCCCTTCCCCCTTGTGACCAGATTGTTGAAAGGAGCAGGGAGTGTCTGCATGATGCATCCCGCATTCCAGCAACAGGGCTGGGCTGGGGGAGCACACACAACTGAATTCCACATAACGACCCAACAACCCCTTGTTCTGCCCACACAAACACACCCCATTGTTTCCCTTCCCCCTTGTGACCAGATTGTTGAAAGGAGCAGGGAGTGTCTGCATGATGCATCCCGCATTCCAGCAGCCGGGGTGGGGGAGTATGCAGCAGCACTGGCAGCAGTGGCAGTGATGGAAGAGCTCTCGTCCCACGACCTCCTCGCTCTCTTCCTTGATGCTCGTAGAGCGTGCCTGCGCTCCCAGGTGCGTGTGTGCATGTGGCTCCGTCTCTCTGTATGTGAAGGGAAGATTGGGTGGGACAGAATCCAGCAGCGCTGGCAGCAGTGGCAGTGATGGAAGAGCTCTCGTCTCACGACCTGCTCGCTCTCTTCATCGACGCCCGTAGAGCGTGCCTGCGCTCCCGTCCCAGGTGCGTGTGTGTGTGTGTGGCTCCGTCTCTCTGTATGTGAAGGGAAGATTGGGTGGGAGAGTATGCAGCAGCGCTGGTAGCGGTGGCAGTGATGGAAGAGCTCTCGTCCCACGACCTCCCCGCGCTCTTCCTTGATGCCCGTAGAGCGTGCCTGCACTCCCAGGTGGGTCTGTGGGGAAAGGAGAGGGGGTAAGAGAGGTGGAGAAGAGATTGGGAGAGTATGCAGCAGCGCTGGCAGCGGTGGCAGTGATGGAAGAGCTCTCGTCCCACGACTTCCCCGATGTCTTCCTCGACGCCCGTAGAGCGTGCCTGCGCTGGCAGGTGGGTCTGTGTGTGTGTGTGTGTGTGTGTGTGTGTGTGTGTGTGTGTGTGTGTGTGTGTGTGTGTGTGTGTGTGTGTGTGTGTGTGTGTGTGTGTGCCTGTGCCGCCCTGCATGAGGACGAGTGAGGGGGGGGGGGGGGGTGTGGGGGAGTATGCAGCAGCGGTGGCAGCGGTGGTGGTGATGGAAGAGCTCTCGTCCCATGGCAGGAGGGCAGGAGGAAGTGGCAGGAGGAGGCTGTCTGTTTGCCTGCCTGTCTGTCCATCCGTCCGTCCGTCCGTCCGTCCGTCCGTCCGTCCGTCCGTCCGTCTGTCCGTCCATCTGTCTGTCTTTCTGTTTTTAGCCCCTCTTGTCTCCTTTCCTTTCCCTACGCTTCCCCTGTTTTTCTCCCCCTCTCGCTTTGCATGTCTGTGGAAAGAAAAGGGGCAAGGATGAGAGAGTATGCGGCAGCAGTGTCAGTGATCCCTCCCATCCCCTCCCACCCCTTTCCACCCCCTCCCATCACCTCCCATCCCGCCCCCTCCCAACCCCTCTCATGCCCGCCCGCCCTCCACTCCTCCCTGTTGCAGCTCGCCTCTGCCACCTCAGCTCTGGGCGCTGGGGGGAGTTTTGCTGATGCGCTGGCATCACTGCTCAGCCAGCTGGTTGCCATGATTCAGGTATACCAGTGGTAGCGTAGCATAGCAGGTAAATCAGCGGTAACAGGTATACCAACGGTAGCAGGTATACCAGTATGTATGTCAACTCAGCTTCTCTGATGCGCTAGCGTCACTGCTCGCCAACTGGTCACGACGATTCAGGTATATCAGCAACACCAAATATGCCTACCAGGTCTATTTCTGAGCCTGCTTCTGAGGCGGCTCAGAAACAGGTACCCATAGGCTATAGCTCAATCGAGCAAAGTATGCTGATGCGCTGGCGTTACTGCTCAGCCAACTGGTTGCAGTGATTCAGGTATACCAGTGGTTGCAGATGTACCAGTGGTAGCAGGTACACCAGTGGGAGCCAACCACCTCCATTCACACCTTCCAACCGTCCCGCAAAACTTCCAACCCCGTCTGCCCCCCTTCCCTCTCGTCAGCTCACGCTGTGCCAGACGGGGCAGCTGTTCCTGGAGGTGTCCTCAGCCGAACGAGCAGTGCTGCTGGGGGTGCTGCTGCAAGGAGCACCGCAGGCGCAGCTGTTTGGCGGCATCCCGCGCCCCGACAGGGAGCTCGCGCTCTGGCACCGCCACAGGGATGCTCTGGAATCCCGATTGCCGTCCCTCAGCAGCAAAGAGGTGGCAGAGGCTTGTCAAAATTGGCTGAAAGCATGCGCTGCTGACATTGCTGGTGAGTCTCTGTCTGTGGGTGTCCAGAGGTTCTTGAGAGGGGCCTAACCCCCCTGTTTCAAGGGGCATACCGCGCCCAGACAGGGAGCTCGCACTCTGGCACAAACACAGGGACGCACTGGAAGCCAGGTTGCCTTCCTTGAAAGTGCCATACTGCGCCCCGACAGGGAGCTCGCGCTCTGGCACACACACAGGGACGCTCTAGAAGCCAGGTTGCCTTCTCTCAGCAGCAAGGAGGTGGCAGAGGCGTGCCAGGAGTGGCTCAAAGCATGCGCTGCTAACATTGCTGGTGAGTGCATGGGGCTGAGGACAGGTCTTGAGAGTGGTAGTCTCCACCCAGCCACACAGGGACGCGCTGGAAGCCGTACTGCCTTCTTTGAGCAGCAAGGAGGTGGCAGAGGCGTGCCAGGGGTGGCTCAAAGCATGCGCTGCTGATATTGCTGGTGAGTCTCTGTCTGTGGGCGTGGGGTTCTTTCCCCACGAACTTGGTGTGCCTCAGCCAAATAGGGAGCTGGCGTAGAGGTTTCTCCTGTCCTCCCTACCCAAGATTATATATATATACATATGTGCATATATATGTTTATCCCCTTCTCCTTTTCTCCCACTCTTCCCACACTTCTCCCACCCCCCACCATCCCACCAGCCGAATCCAGGAACCTTCTCAGCAGGGTCACCCAGATCCGCCACCTGGCGCAAGCAGAGGCCGCCACGCGTGCAGCGATTGCCAACAAGGACATCTTCTCCGCCAGCCTGGACTGGCTGACGTCAGCCTTCGGCTCTCCCCCTGAGTCCCCCTGGCGGGCCCTCTGCGAGCTGCTACTAAAGGAGCCTAAGGACCTATGGAGCGAGTTATTTGAGGCGGCGTTCGCACTTAGAGCGCGGGAGATCATTGATGGGGCGTTCGCGGGGTTGACGCTGAGGGAGGAGATTGATGGAGTGTTGAGGGAGGTGGGGGATGTAGTGGCTGTGGCAGCGGTGGTTTCAGCTGAGAATGCTGGTGCTGGTGCTGCCGCTGCTGGTGGTGCTGCTGTTGTTGCTGCTGCCGCTCGTGCTATTGCCAGTGAAAAGGCAGCAGGTTTGGCAGGAGGAGACAGGAGGTTCGGGGCAGGTTGGGCGAGGCTACCCCCTCTCACTGACGTTATAGGCCAATCAGGGTTCGAAGAAACAGGCGGGTTTGCCGTTGGGGAGGCAGTTTGGGGCAGCCTGGGAGAGGAGTTGGGTGCGGTGGGGCTGGGTAAAGGTGGGGGACCGGGAGGAGCAGGCGGAGGGGGGAAGGAGGGTGGGAAAGAGGGTGGGAAGGAGGGACGGAGGGGGAATGGAGAGGCGGTTTTGCGTGGCACACAGGTGTACGAGCCACAGGTGGCAGTGGTATGGCAGCAACTAGACTCCAAAATCCAGGAGATTCTGCTAGATGCCCTCACGCTCCTCCTCCCACACTCTGCACTCGCTCCCTCTGCCCATCAATCCATCTCCTCCTCATCCTCTTCATCGGATTTCTCTACCCCTGCCTCCGCCGCCGCCGCTTCAGCAGCTTCGGCGGCGTCCCGAACCAAGGAGCTGGCGCCGTACCTGCAGGATCGGTGCCACGAATGTGTGATGCGGCTGGTTAGGCTGCTGGCAAGCAGGCTTGGGGACCTACAGAAGCAGCAGCAGGCAGAGCAAGTGGAGAGGGCGGAGGGGCCGGAGGGGGCGGAGGGGGGAAGGAGAGGAGAGGGAGAGAATGGCAGTGTTGAGAGCAGCACTGAAGGCGTGGCAGCAACAGCAGCAGGGGAAAGATCACCATCCAACGGTCCAGATGCAGCGAATGCTCCTCGGAGGTTATCCGCGCAAGTGGCGGTCGAACAGGCTCTCCTGATTGGCCGGCTTGCGGCGGCTGTAGCACAGAGCTCGTCCTCCCTAGCTGTAGCGCTTGGCCCCAGTTCCACCTGGCCGGCTGTAGCAGCAGCTGCTGCCGCTACAGCCAGTGGCGATACTGCCGCATCGGTTGATTCAACTGCTGCTGGAGCAACCTCAGAAGCTAGTACTGGGGCGGTTTATAACGGGGATGCTGGGAGGGATGGGGCGAGGGCAGGGGAGCCAGTGTTACAGTGGCCAGCCCAGGAAGTTGTTGGGAGTATTATTGCAGCAGCGGTGGCAGGAGGGGGGGGTGGTGGCAGTGGGAGTGGCGGTGGCGGTGGTGGTGGTGGGTTCAGCTGGATGGGTGGTGGTGGTGTGGGATTTGGAGGAGTGGGAGGGGGGTCGGGCAGGAGGGGTGGGAGGAGGGTGACGGAACTTGCTGCTGTTACGGCGAGATCGGCTGAATTCGCTCGGCTGCATGAGATTCAAGTGAGTCGCTGTAACCCCATCTGCCGTGACTCTGCCATCCGAGGTGACTTTTGAGTCGACTCAAAAGTCAATTCGCTCGGCTGCATGAGATTCAAGTGAGTCGCTGTAACCCCATCTGCCGTGACTCTGCCATCCGAGGTGACTTTTGAGTCGACTCAAAAGTCAATTCGCTCGGCTGCATGAGATTCAAGTGAGTCGCTGTAACGCCATTTGCCGTGACTCTGCCATCCCCCCCAGCCCTCTCCCCTCCATCAATCTGCAGTCACTTTCGTTTGCGTTCAGCTTCTTGTTTTGTAAATAAGAGAATGTTGGAGCTGCATCCCCTGGGCATGCATCTTGCTTGCTTCCCCAACATCCTCTCCCAAGATGCTCTGCCTAAGACACAATCCCTCACTCCTTGTACGCCCCCTCCCCTCCCACTACACCATCCTCTGTACTCCAGAGGGAGCTGCGGCGGCTGAGCATCTTGGCCCACTCGCACTGGGTGACCCACAGCACCCGCCTGCTCGCCTCCGCTTTCAGCCGCAATCTCATGCACGATCCAGCTCTCACCACCGCAACTCCCCTCAAGGTACGAATCTCTTGTACGGCCGTCCTTCCCCTAAAGGTCTCCTTTCCCCCAGCTTGAGAGGTGCAGTGCAGTGCAGCTAGGTGGTCTTGCCATCTCCCCCCAGTTTTCCGCCACAATCTCAAGCACGACCCAGCTCTCACCACTGCCACTCCCCTCAAGGCACGGTCGTTGCAGTGGGTTGCACCCGCCTGGTCGCCTATGCTTTCAGCCGCAATCTCAAGCACGACCCAGCTCTCACCACCGCCACTCCCCTCAAAATACGCGCTTCTATTGAACTCCAACTAATGTGCACCGTGCAGCACTACCCAGAATCGCTATCTTATGCATGAACCAGCTCTCGCCTCCTTCCCTCCGTATCCCACACCCTGTTCTCTTGCCGGGATGAGAGGAGACAGTGGTGCAGCAGGAGGGGCAGGAGGGCGAGGCGAAGGTGGAGATGCGAATGACCCTTCCGGCCTGCCGCTCTGCCTGTCCTGTTCCTCACCCATTTCCCACTTAATTCTTGGCTCTCCTTGCACACTGCTTCCCCTCTATCATCTGCACCCAAATCCCCTCCATCTCCTCTCTTCCACAGGGCTGGGAAGAGACAGTGGTGCAGCAGGAGGGGGAGGAGGGCGAGGCGAAGGTGGATGTGCGAATGACCCTCCCTGCCACCCTATCTGCCTTCTCCTCACCCCGTTTCCTCCCTCTCTCCTGTGTTGCTTCCCTACCCGTCTATGTACTTCCCCACAGGGCTGGGAGGAGACAGTGGTGCAGCAGGAGGGGCAGGAGGGCGAATGACCCTCCCGGCCTGCCCCTCTTTGCCCCTTCCGGCCTCCCTGCCCCACTTTACACCCCGCCCTTCCCCTGTTTCTCCCTGCCCTTTAACGTATCTTCCCTACAGGGCTGGGAGGAAACAGTGGTGCAGCAGGAGGGGGAGGAGGGCGAGGCCAAGGTGGAGATGCGAATGACCCTCCCAGCCTGCCCCTCGCCCTACGTGGCTTCGCTGCTCTTTGCCGCCTCTGCTGATGTGCACCGCGTGGGCTGCCACTCCCTTGACCGCCTCGTGCTGAGGCTGTTTGCATGGGAACTCTCAGAGCAGGTGAGCCGAGCACTAGGAGGGTGTAGCCGTGGGCTTAGAGAGAGGAAACAGGCAAGAAGCACAGGGTTGGGGCTTGGTGCTTCTCTTTGTGCATCAGAGAAGGGAGTGCTGCAGCTGCTCTTTGATGCTCGCCTGCTGTCAGACTTGCTCTCAGGAGGGGCAGAGCTGCTTCTGGAAGCACTCACCCTTCCTCCCTGCCTCCCTGCCTCCCTCCCTCATATCCGCCCCCTCAGGTTCTGATTGCCTTCGAGTCGCTGGCTGTCACTCGCGGCGCATCAGAGAAGGGAGTGCTGCAGCTGCTCTTTGATGCTCGCCTGCTCTCAGACGTGCTCTCAAGAGGGGCGGAACTGCCTCTGGAAGCACTCACCCCTCCTCGCTGCCTCCCTCATGTCCCTTCTTTCAGGTTCTGAGTGCCTACGAGTCTGTTGCAAGCGTTAAACGTGCATCAGAGAAGGGAGTGCTGCAGCTGTTGTTTGACGCGCGTCTGCTATCAGACGTCCTCTCAGGAGGGGCAGAGCTGCCTCTGGAAGCACTCACCCCTCCTCCCTGCCTCCTCTCCCCCCCTCTCCCCGCAGGTTCTGGCAGCCTACGAAGCCATTGCCTCTGCTAAGCGTGCATCAGAGAAGGGAGTGCTGCAGCTGCTCTTTGACGCGCGTCTGCTATCAGACGTGCTCTCAGGAGGGGCAGAGCTGCCTCTGGAAGCACTCAGAGAAGGAGCAGGGGCAGCAGCAGCAGCAGGCGGGGCTGCGGCAAGGGTGGGGGCAGGTGGGGAGGCAGCAGCAGGAGGGGGGGCTGTAGCAAGGGCGACGTCAGGAGGGGGAGCAGGGGCAGGGGCAGGGGCAGGGAGCATTGGTGCATCAGTTGCATTGAGGAAGAAAAGAGTGGCAGCTCTGCTGGAGAGGCTGCAGGAGGAGCTGGATCCCATCGACAGAGCTGCGTGAGTGTTGTAGATCTCATTCTCTGCCATGATGTACCAGCACATCAACGGCTCACAACGCACGTGGCCGCGCTGCTGGAGAAGCTGCAGGAGGAGCTGGACCCCATCGACAGAGCTGCGTGAGTGTTGTTATTCCCAAGCCCCAATTCCCGTAGCACAGAATGAGAACATGCTAGGCTGGAAGAAACGAGTGGCAGCACTGCGGGAGAAACTACAGGAGGAGCTGGACCCCATTGACAGAGCTGCGTGAGTGTTGTTATTCCTTATTCCCGTAGCACGTAGTGAGAGAACTTGCCAGGCAGGCTGGAAGAAACGAGTGGCGGCGCTGCAGGAGAAGCTGCAGGCGAAGGTGGATCCCATCGACAGAGCTGCGTGAGTTGCACTTGACGGAACAGCATACCACATGCCTCATGCTTTCCGGTTTGAATGAACGAGTGGCAGCGCTGCAGGAGAAGCTGCAGGAGGAACTGGACCCCATCGACAGAGCTGCGTGAGGATTGCCAAGCCATGGATTAACAAAATATCACATTGCATTCCTCTCTTTCTTTTTCCTCCCGCTCTACCCCCTCGACCCAACCATGCTTTCTTTCTCTCTTGACTCAGAACCTTTCTTTCTTTCCACCCTCGACTCAACCTTCCCCCCAACCCTCTCCCTCTCTTCCTTCAACTCAACCCCTATTCTCCCTCCCCTCTCCCCAGCTGCCTGCCCTTCCTGTGGCAGAACCAGCTATGTGCACGCTTCTACCTGCGCTCAGCAGTGCTCTTCTCTTTAGCCATCTGGCCTATCTCCTCTCTCACTCATTGTCCCCATGCACCCTACCATCCACCCCGTCCTCCCCTCTCTTCCCCCTCTCCCCTCTCACCCCCCCTGCCCCAGCTATCTGCCCTTCCTGTGGCAGAACCAGCAGCGCTTCTACCTGCCCTCAGCAGTGCTTTTCGGCCATCTGGCCCAGCTCCATCGCCTCTACACGATGCTGCCCTCTGCCTCTGTTTCTTGCTTTTCTCACATCTCTAATCTCACTTCCTCTCCCTTCCACTCATCCCTCTTCCTCCTACCCGCACTCCCCCTCCCCAGCTACCTGCCCTTCCTCTGGCAGAACCAGCAGCGCTTCTACCTGCGCTCAGCAGTGCTCTTCGGCCATCTGGCCCAGCTGCACTCTCACTCATTATCCCCCTACACCCTTCCATCCACCCACACACCCCCCTCCTTCCTCGCCCCTCTCCCCGCCCCTGCCCCTGCCCCAGCTATCTGCCCTTCCTGTGGCAGAACCAGCAGCGCTTCTACCTGCGCTCAGCAGTGCTCTTCGGCCATCTGGCCCAGCTGCATCGCCTCTACACCGATGCTGCCCCGCGCCATCCCTACGCCACAGACGCCAACACTCTCGACACCGCACCGACCGTCCCCCGTTTCACCTTCCTCCCTATAAGGTAAGCGCGAAGGCCTGCTTCTAGAATAACTTTTGCCAACTCTGCATTGCCTCTACACCGATGCTGCCCCGCGCCATCCCTACGCCACAGACGCCAACACCCTCGACACCGCGCCCACCGGCCCCCGTTTCACCTTCCTGCCCATCAGGTAACATGCTCCTTCTAAGGTAACCCTCATCAGTTTTGATGCTGCCCCGCGCCATCCCTACGCCACAGACGCCAACACTCTCGACACTGCACCCACCGTTCCGATCTTCACCTTCCTCCCTATAAGGTAACTCTTTATAAGGTCACTCAGTGCGCCCTATAAGTCACCTCTCTACCCAGCCCTCTGTGTCCCTACGCCACGGACACTGCCAACACAACACCGCCCCACCGTCCCCCACAAAGCCTCCTCTTTATAAGTTGACTAACATCCTCCTCATAAGGTGAATTGCGTCCTCTAATAACAAACTCTCCATTCACTGCTTCTTGGCCATCTGCCCCACCGTCACTCTTTGTGAGAAATCAATCGTGACACACCTTTGCTTCTTCCCCTCCCTTCCCCCCACCCCAACCCCTCCCTTCCCCCAGCTCGCCACTTCTGGCCAATGGCGGGCTGGCACCTGGCGGTAAGCCCCGCCGTCCATCCACCTTTGGAGACGTCTCACTATCCGTTTCTGGTTCAAGCAGCAACAGTGGTGCTCCAGTTTCCCGAGTGCCTAGTGGGTCAGGGGCAGGGGTAGCTGCAGCAGCAGCAGGTGGTGGTGGGTTTGGAGGGGTTGGAAGCGGTGCGTGGGGAGAAGATGGGGCTCTTGGAGGGGCGTTTTCGTTTGCAGATTCGACGGGGCTTTCTGCAACACCCATTTTCAAGTCACTTATGGGTCAGGTAATTACTGCAGGCTGGTCAAGTAAACAAACAAACAAATGCCGTCCTTTCTGTTTTGCATCTGCCTCGACTCGCGTTTCACCCTTGTTATCCCCCCTCGATTCCAGGTCAAACTGGGGTCGATCCTCGGGGATGGCAGTCAAGTGACGCGCAACATTTCCAATCTACAGGAGATGTTCAACCAGCCCTCGCAAGCAGCTGGGCTGTTCTCATCACTTACGAGTGCCGCTGCTGGCAGCTCCTCACGCCTGCAAGAGCTGTTTTGAAGAAACAATACCGATACCAGTGCAGATAGAAAGTTGTATTTTAGCTCTCAACCAGCCATCGCAGCCAGCTGGACTGTTCTCATCGCATACAGACGCTTCCGCTGGCAGCTCCTCCCGTCTGCAAGAGTTGTTTTGATTCAATTACCAGAGCAAACGGAAAATTGTATTTTTAGTTCTCGACCAGCCATCACAGGCAGCTGGACTGTTCTTGCTTGCAAGTGTGGCTGCTGGCAGCTCTTCTCGCCTGCAACCGGCTGACTGACTTATCCTCATCGGCCTGATGTTAGTTCGTGTACGGAAAAATGATATATAGTCTAAAGATGTATGTTTCACGTGGAAAATGCTTCTTTCATGACTAATTGAAACTCAAATAATGCTGAATTATTTTCCCGTTGTATGGAGCAGCCAACCGAGAAGTGGAATCTGTTCTCTATATGGATGTACGGAATGGGAAGTACAGTTCCACATCCGCGTTTCCGCTTAGCGAGTCGTCTCCAGCTTTCGAGTGGCAATCCAGCCATCAGGATATTCGAAAGGTCCCCGCGCCACCTCAGCTCTATCCCTTTACAAACATGACGTGGGAACTTGCTGGCAAAGATGGCGAACCCCAGACCCCAGCATTTATCAAAACGCTTCGAGCAAATAAATTCTTCGGCAAGGTGTTCGTTGTGCTACTTTTCACGCCTGCCCGTGTCTTATGTGGCAGCGTGTTGCGAACACCAGCCACCACAACGACTCGAAATTTATGGTTACGTGGCAAATGATGAATTTGTCGCAGCCACTCATCCACCCATGAATATGGTCGGATGAGGGTGACCGTTTGCCACGCGGCAAGGCTCCGTCAGCCACCTCAGCAGCAATGGTCTTGCTTTCGCTTGCTCTTGGTGGCTGCTGACGGGGCCCCACCACGAGTGCCAACAAGCGTTTTCGCAGCCAGTTAGAACAGACCACCTGCCGGATTCCGTCTCTCGCCGTCAGCTCTGGCAGGCTTCTCCGTCAGCCTAGGAGAAATCTCGAAGGCTGCTGCTGATGCTTCCTCCAATTCCTAGGGATCTCCGCCAGCAACAAAAGGGAAGCCTTACCTTGGAATTACTAACTAGTCTCCAGGACAACTCAGACTCAAAAGTCTAACGAGATCAGACCGTAGCTGATCTCCTGTCCTGTCACCTAGACCGGCTTATTCGCTTTCTCTTATCTCCCAGAACTCCGCAACCATGGAGGCTGTGAGGTGCAATATCGCTCAGGCTGCTTCAGTGGCTCCCGCCCTCCGTGGCGCGGAGACCAAGGCTTCCTTGTCCTCCGTTAAGGCTCCTCTCGGTCTGTACTCCGGCCTGAGGAAGACCTCCTCGGCCAAGGCTTCCAAGAACAGCCGTGCTGCGGTGAAGGCTCAGATTGCTAAGGTCACGGCCACTGCTGCTGTCGAGGTCGTTGCTAAGACTGATGCCGCTATCCTCGAGAAGGTACCTAAGACGCTGCTGCTGACAAGCAATATCCTCTGGCATACATCCTTTCCACTGTTGCTCGTCGTTATGCCGTTAGGTTGCTCGCTATTATGATGTCTGTCTCGAATTCTTTCTAATTATCCTGTCAGTCATAACTTGCTTCGCATGCAGGCCATCAACTCTATCAGGTTCCTCGCCATCGATGCCGTCGAGAAGGCGAATTCCGGTCACCCTGGTCTTCCCATGGGCTGTGCTCCCATGGCGTTCGTTCTCTTCGATGAGTTCATGAGGTTCAACCCCAAGGACCCCTACTTCGTCAACCGCGATCGTTTCGTGCTCTCTGCCGGCCACGGATGCATGCTCCAGTATGCTCTGCTTCACCTTTTCGGATACGACAGCGTTCCGGTACGATTTCGACGTTATGCATTTTTGTTCCATGGTCTGGAATGTATCCCATGCAGTTCTTATCGAATGATATACCATCGTCTGATACATTATGCTCTAAATGCAGATTGAGGAGCTTAAGCAATTCCGTCAGTGGGGAAGCAAGGCCCCTGGCCACCCCGAGCACTTCATCACCCCCGGTGTTGAGGTCACCACCGGTCCTCTTGGACAAGGTATTGCCAACGCTGTCGGTCTGGCTCTTGCGGAGAAGCACCTTGCCGCTCGCTTCAACAAGCCTGGGTTCGACCTGATTGACCACTACACGTGAGTGTCTTCAGCACACGCGCTCAACCTCAACTCCGTTTTCCCCCTCAATCCTGTTTCGAAATCGGTCAACGCGCTAACTCTTACATTGAATTTATTGAGCAGCTATGTTATTCTCGGTGACGGTTGCAACATGGAGGGTATCTCTACCGAGGCTGCTTCCCTCGCTGGTCACTGGGGTCTCGGCAAGCTCATCGCTCTGTACGACGACAACCATATCTCCATCGATGGCAGCACCGATATTGCATTCACGGAGGACGTGAGCGCGCGTTTCGACGCTCTCGGCTGGCACACAATCTGGGTGAAGGACGGCAACACCGACCTGGACGCCCTTCGCGCCGCCATTGAGGAGGCCAAGTCCGTCACGGACAAGCCCACCATGATCAAGGTAATATATTAACTGCAATTACATTCACGGCGAAGAGAATTTCCAAAATGTCAATGACAAGTTTAAAATGTCTAAAATGCGATGCCTCTATCGAAACTGAACGCTAGAGTCGAGTGCGACGGTGATTGTACTTGGTTTTAACTACCCGCTCTTGACATTTACCTTTTCCAGATCACCACCACCATCGGCTTCGGTTCCCCCAACAAGGCCAACTCGTACGCCGTCCACGGTGCTGCTCTCGGTGCCAGCGAGGTCACTGCAACCAGGGAGAACCTCAACTGGCCGTATGCGCCATTCGAAGTCCCTGCTGAGGTCTATGAGTAAGTATATCTCACTCCGGAATCAAGGAATTGTTCTCTTTCCTTTCTTAGGTTGCCTTATATCAACATTGGCTCATATATTTCTGCTTTTTGTTTAACAGGCACACTCACAAGAAGATTGAGGCGGGTGCCAAGTTGGAGGCTGACTGGAACGCCCTTCTGGCTAAGTACGAGAAGGAGTACCCTAAGGAGGCCGCCGAGTTCAAGCAGCTCATCAGCCTCGAGCTCCCAGCGGGCTGGGAGAAGGCCCTTCCGGTATGTACAGCACATGTTAATGAATTATCGCGCATCACTCATTTCGATTTACCGTCGTCCAAATCTTACGTTTTTGCTAAGTTGTGTTTTACATGTTTTCCTCTTCTTCTGGCAGACCTACACCCCTGACATGCCTGGCGATGCTACCCGCAACCTGTCCCAAGTGATGCTGAACGCCCTGGCTGACGTTCTCCCCGGCCTTGTTGGTGGCTCTGCCGATCTGGCCTCCTCCAACATGACCCTGCTGAAGAAGCACGGCAACTTCCAGAAGGACACCCCTGCTGAGAGGAACATCCGCTTTGGTGTGCGCGAGCACGCCATGGGAGCCATTGCCAACGGTATCCAGCTGCATCTGACCGGTCTCATCCCCTACGTCGCCACCTTCTTCATCTTCTCCGACTACATGCGCAATGCCATCCGCATCTCCGCGCTGGGCGAGACTGGTGTCATCCAGGTCATGACCCACGACTCCATCGGTCTTGGAGAGGACGGCCCCACTCACCAGGTAAGCTTGTGTTTCATAAGTGTGAAGGCAACACAACAAGCTTTTCGTTTGGAGACCCATGCTTGCTATGCGTTGGATGTTTCAAGATTTGACATTTGCTATCACCTGTCCAGAGCTTGTCATGTAGAAAATAGTTGTGTGCGCATTATCGAATCAACTTTTACCCTCCGTCCCCGTGCAGCCTATTGAGCACCTGGCGTCCTTCCGCGCCATGCCCAACCTGCTGATGATGAGGCCTGCTGATGGCAACGAGACTGCGGGGGCGTACAAGGTGGCTGTGCAGAACAGGAAGAGGCCGACTGTGCTCGCTCTCTCCCGCCAAAAGCTGCCCAACCTTCCCGGCACTTCCATCGAGGGCACCGAGAAGGGTGGATACACCATCAGGTAACCTTCTGTCATACCTTGTCTAAATAACATGTGAATCCGTACATTATACCCTTCCCCTTATGTGCTCTCCCTTGTGTGTGTGCGCAAGTCAACAATCCTTGTCTCAACCTGCCTCTTCCCTGAACCCTTTCCTTTTCTCAGCGACAACTCCTCTGGCAAGCCTGATGTGATCCTCATGGCCACCGGCTCTGAGCTCGAGATGGTGGAGAAGGCAGCCAAGATCCTCAGGGACGAGGGCAAGGGTGTGCGCGTTGTCTCCATGGTCTGCTGGGAGCTGTTCGAGGAGCAGACTGAGGAGTACAAGAAGTCTGTCTTCCCTGATGATGTGCGTGCTCGTGTCTCCCTTGAGGCTGGCTCCACCCTTGGCTGGCACAAGTATGTGGGTGACAACGGCAAGGCCATCGGTGTTGACGAGTTTGGTGCCTCTGCCCCGGCCAACATCCTGTATGAGAAGTATGGCATCACTGTTGATGCTGTCGTAGCTGCTGCCAAGGCCTCCATGGCGAAGGCCTAGACAGCTGATTCGGTTGGCCTAGGATCTGAACCCTCTTTTTGCTTTGCTTGAACTTCATTAATTCCAAATACCTACAAAATAAAAGGGTCCCTTGACATTGAAATTGTTAAAAGAGAACACTTTGAAACACATTGCATATAATTTACAACCAAACTCAGTGAACTAAAATCTGTTGAAGGTGCCTGAAACCCAATGCATCACAACACTAACCCCATGTGAACTGTACTGTACCCGTACTGGACGTACCGGTACCAGTATCGAAATGTGACACTCGTGTACTGTAGAGGTGTCCCAATGTCAATGTTGAAACTATGATCCTGAAATGACCTGTTTGTAACCATTGGTTGGAAGAAGTGTACACTGTACATCTGTTCCTCAAAGGCCACTGGAGAAGTACATGCAGATGGCTCTGCCGCGTCCATTGCCAGCCATTTACACCTCGGGTTTGCCAAGCTTCTACATTCTCATCCTGACGCTTGGA